TTTTGCAAGACGACTGCAATAAATAACCTAACAAAACAAAACAAAACAGAAAGATGCAAGTTGTGTAACCAATGTGTTTTCTTCCACTGAGTTACATTATGTAAGGATTATAATAAAGCATTATATTAAAATTCCCTTTTTAATAACCTTTAAGAGTGGTGCTGCAGCTGACATGAAGCATGGTATTGGAGCTTTCAGAAAAAAAACCTGTTGTGAATAAAACAATTGGTGCAACTGGTTATGAGTTTAACTTCACAGTTTAGCAATTGAACTGGGAAGCTGGAAGGATGGAAACTGTGACATTAAACTGAGCAGGGCGATAAGATAAGCTCTGTGTGTGATGTCTGCTGTTTTGCAAGTGCACTATAAGAGATCAATGTGGACACTCAAGTGTGCAATAGCAAGAGTACAACAAGATAAGACAAGACACTGTTGGGAAACAACACGCATTCGCCATCAAAATAAAAGACGTGCACCAGATAAGAAGTTGCAACGCGCATTTGCCACTGTTTTTGTCTGCTAGAGTGGGATTTTCACGGGATATTCTGCACCATATCTCTGTGCGTTCATCTTTTGTTTGAAGCCAGCTCACCTCCTGCAACCACTTTTCCGAGAATACGTGCTTCTTTTGTGGTTCGGACTCCTTCTTACATTTATTTGGAGGTGGAGGAACACCAAAGTAATTGCTTAAAGGAGCTTGCTTCTTCGACATCTTTAAGAATTCTAAACAAATGTCTGTCCTCCTCCAGAAAATCTTATGTACGCAAACGCGCGTTGCAACTTCTTATCTGGTGTGCGTCTTGTATTTTGACAGCGAATGCGCACCTGTGGACCACTTATGTGCACCACTGTTAATAGCTATGGATCATATAGCAATAGCAGGAATGGAATAGTGCAGTTGCTGAATGTTAATAGCTAGACTATGTATAGAGCATTAACCAGATAAAACATCTGGCAGCTATTGATGCTGTGCCAATCAGTGTTTCAGTGCAGAAATGTTTTAGTGAATAAATGAAAGCTTAAAGATGCTGGTGTTGAGGCTCATGATTTTAAGCGGAAGAATTATGGGCGAAAATGAATGTTGTGATTGGTAGCTGCACTGAGATGCGCAGAAAGGACGAGAAGTCTGTGCAACTGTGTATGTATGAATTGGACTATGTAATTTTAAATGCCCAGCAGTTAGGTGAAGATTAACAACCCTAGAGTTACAGTTAGGTCAATACCACACAACTTTTTGTAGTTTTGCTTGTTTTTTTGCCTGCTGTTCACTATTACAGTGGATTTTCAAATCAAAACAGCCAAAATGCTATAATTTAAGGACTGCTTTAATTTAAGGACTTTGACAAATGTGTTACACAAACTGTTTCGGAATTACAGCCATTGTTATACATATTCCCATACTGTTTTTTCTCATATTTGGATGCTGTTCACTGGAACTTTTAGTGTGCAGTCCAAAGAGGTGCAAATGAAGGAGGCCATCATGTTGAGTCTTAATCATGTGCCAAAAACCAGTATGGTAGATTGTAAAAAAAAAAAAAAAAAAAGAATGCACTGGCCAGTTCAGCAACACCAAAACATCCTAAAGACCATTGAAGACAACTAAAGTTCTTGATTGCAGAAGTTTTAACTTGGTTAAGACAAACAAACACAAAATTAAAAAAAACTTTCGCAACATCCAGCTAAATTAAGAACTTTGTCAAGAAGGTAGGCATATCACTGACATCTACATTCAAGAAATTGCCTCATGAATGTGCGTACAAAGAGATTACAAAAAGTCGCAATCCACCGATTGCATTTAAGAACAGGAAGGCCAAATTAGACAGGCAGAAAACTTCATGATCCAAAGCATACTGCATTATGTGTCAGAAAAGGTGGTGCAAATGGTTACGGGCATGTATGGCTGTGAGTAGAAAAGGTAATTAGTGTTTACTGATCATGTGACTGCTCGTAGAAGTAGCAGGATGAAGTGTACAGGGCTATACTCTTTCTCTGTACTCTGCTCAGGTTAAGCCAAATGATACAAAACTGATTAAACTCCACATTACAGTGCAAATGGATAATGATGGAAAGCATAGTGCAAAAACAGAGATGGGATACTATTTAAGTCAGTCAGCTGATCTGTAATCCCAACAGAGCATGCTTTGTAGTAACTGAAGACAGAGACCCCAAACGAGCAGCACCCAAATATTATTATATTCATATTTACAAGCATCCTGTTTGTTGCGAAGAGCTCATGATTTTAAGTGGACGTAATCTTGGGCGGAAGTGATTGGACTAAGTGCAGAAAGTGTATGTATGAATTGGACTATCAACAGTCTTTGTGGATATGCACATTCTACAAACTGCCTGTGAGAAGCTGGAGACATTTCTCCTAAAAAACACAGTGCAGCTGCTCATATTTGCATTAGCTTTAAGTTAGCATCACAGCACACACGGGTGTCAGCTCATTAGCTGAGTGGCTAAATATGTAGAAACTGTGAATATTCATCAGTTATTTAAGAGATGCCAAGACAACCTAGAGTGCATGTGATACTAATACGGAGCCCGCACCATCTTTGGATGTCTGCCGATCACTCTTCATTCCTTGAACTGACTCAGAGACTAGAAGCTAGAGGTGCAGAGACTTTTACTGCCAGATATCTTCCAACAGCGAGTTCTTTTCCTCATCATGCTCTTCCAAGAGCATAAAGACTGCAAGTTCGGCATTATAGGGTACAATATTTTATGTATTTTTTCGTCTTTGAGTGAAGGGACCATCACGTTTTGGGCCACACTGCTCCCAAGCATCACTTCAGGCCTGCAACAAGTTTTCATTTCTGTTGGTGTTATTTTATTTTAACATATGCTGGCTTGAGTGTGTGCTCAGAGAGAGTGTGGACCCCCCTTTGTGTTACTGAAGTTGAATTTGGGTTATCCAAATGACCATGCCAAACATAATGAGACATTTTAAAGTAATTGTAACCCGGCATTTTACACAATTCTCTGTTTTAGTTTTCAAGATAATTTAATTCAACTCAATTGTTTCTGAAACTGGTCCGAGTCATTTTATTTCCTTAGTTACTAAGGTTGGGGCATTTGATGACTAAGTGTTACATTAGCGATTTGTAAGTGTACTAAATTTGTTACTTTTACAATACCTGCATGTGATAGTTTTAAATAGGTATCCTAGTATTTTAAAGTTCATCTAACAACACTCAAGACACTAAGTAATATTTGACATACTCTTATTGGATTAAAGTTGTTTGGTTTAAAGAACCCAAGGTGCTTACCTGGCACGGTAAGTACGGGTGGGCTACACAATGATTGCAAAGGATTTTCTTCCATATTTTTTAAAATCATCATTGTATTTAAAATTCTGTTTGGGTGCCCAGTTAGTTTCGATCCTCTTTAAATAGGGGGTTATTTATTTTAAAAAAATGCTGTAATTTACAGCTAATCTAAAAATATTGATTATTAAGCCCCTTGAATTAAAGCTGAAGGTCTGTATTTCAGTTTCATCTTGATTGATTTTAAAATCCACTGTGGTAGCACAAAGAAAAATGACACAAATTTGTCATCATCCCCAAAAATTATGGTCCTAACTGTATGCTACTGTGTTTGCTCAAAATTGGTGGTACTTACAGGGAGTGCAGAATTATTAGGCAAGTTGTATTTTTGAGGAATAATTTTATTATTGAGCAACAACCATGTTCTCAATGAACCCAAAAAACTCATTAATATCAAAGCTGAATGTTTTTGGAAGTAGTTTTTAGTTTGTTTTTAGTTTTAGCTATTTTAGGGGGATATCTGTGTGTGCAGGTGACTATTACTGTGCATAATTATTAGGCAACTGAACAAAAAACAAATATATACCCATTTCAATTATATATTTTTACCAGTGAAACCAATATAACATCTCCACATTCACAAATATACATTTCTGACATTCAAAAACAAAACAAAAACAAATCAGCGACCAATATAGCCACCTTTCTTTGCAAGGACACTCAAAAGCCTGACATCCATGGATTCTGTCAGTGTTTTGATCTGTTCACCATCAACATTGCGTGCAGCAGCAACCACAGCCTCCCAGACACTGTTCAGAGAGGTGTACTGTTTTCCCTCCTTGTAAATCTCACATTTGATGATGGACCACAGGTTCTCAATGGGGTTCAGATCAGGTGAACAAGGAGGCCATGTCATTAGTTTTTCTTCTTTTATACCCTTTCTTGCCAGCCACGCTGTGGAGTACTTGGACGCGTGTGATGGAGCATTGTCCTGCATGAAAATCATGTTTTTCTTGAAGGATGCAGACTTCTTCCTGTACCACTGCTTGAAGAAGGTGTCTTCCAGAAACTGGCAGTAGGACTGGGAGTTGAGCTTGACTCCATCCTCAACCCGAAAAGGCCCCACAAGCTCATCTTTGATGATACCAGCCCAAACCAGTACTCCACCTCCACCTTGCTGGCGTCTGAGTCGGACTGGAGCTCTATGCCCTTTACCAATCCAGCCACGGGCCCATCCATCTGGCCCATCAAGACTCACTCTCATTTCATCAGTCCATAAAACCTTAGAAAAACCAGTCTTGAGATATTTCTTGGCCCAGTCTTGACGTTTCAGCTTGTGTGTCTTGATCAGTGGTGGTCGTCTTTCAGCCTTTCTTACCTTGGCCATGTCTCTGAGTATTGCACACCTTGTGCTTTTGGGCACTCCAGTGATGTTGCAGCTCTGAAATATGGCCAAGCTGGTGGCAAGTGGCATCTTGGCAGCTGCACGCTTGACTTTTCTCAGTTCATGGGCAGTTATTTGGCGCCTTGGTTTTTCCACACGCTTCTTGCGACCCTGTTGACTATTTTGAATGAAATGCTTGATTGTTCGATGATCACGCTTCAGAAGCTTTGCAATTTTGAGACTGCTGCATCCCTCTGCAAGATATCTCACTGTTTTTGACTTTTCTGAGCCTGTCAAGTCCTTCTTTTGACCCATTTTGCCAAAGGAAAGGACATTGCCAAATAATTATGCACACCTGATATAGGGTGTTGATGTCATTAGACCACACCCCTTCTCATTACAGAGTTGCACATCACCTAATATGCTTAATTGGTAGTAGGCTTTCGAGCCTATACAGCTTGGAGTAAGACAACATGCATGAAGAGGATGATGTGGACAAAATATTCATTTGCCTAATAATTCTGCACTCCCTGTATATATATCATGAACTTTTAACCATAGTGATAATATCTTGATCATATAAGAAAACAAAAATACACATACATATGAGAACATGAAGACAGCACTTACGTATAACTATGACCTCAACCCCCGTCCTCAAAGTCCATGTCACTCCTCCCTCAATTATTTGTGTGTGACAGAAAAATACTCCATCATCCTTTTCATGGACTGGTTCGAGATATAACACCTCTCTGACTTCCCGGGACGGCCTGTGTTGGTCTGAAACCTTCTTTTTATTCTGTAAGAAAGCACACTTGTTTTGCTGTGATTTCAATGTTTAGATTGTGAAGTGGTTACTACTATCTTGTATGGAACTCACCTTGTACCAAGTGACATTTGTGTTGTTACTACAGCCGAAGCCTGGGCAGGAGATTTGACCACCAGCACACACAACCAGGATTTTAATGCTTTCATTACGCCAAAGGCATCTCATTTTCTCCACTTGCAGACGGAAGAACAGCTTGTTGCCACTGGATAGCAGCGACACGAACATGTAACAGAAATTTGTGAAGCAGCAAGTCATTTACACTCATTGAAAACAATTTATTTTGCATTTGAAGATAGATTTAAAAAAAGGTTTTAAACAAGTTTTGATTAAATTACTGCACTCAATGAACTGGGCCGCATTCAGATTTGTGAAAGGTACTATAAATGTGAAGTTTCATTGACTAATGATAACATTTAAACATCTCAGAGGTGTGATTCACACTTTGACACTCTTAAAGTGAAAACAGGTTTCGCATTCTCATGTGTATATCTGTTAGTGGCTGAGAAGAGGTGTCTTGCTGAAACACCTACGGTGAAAATGATGAGGGTGAAACCCACAGACATCTTTCTATGCTAATAAACTTCAATCTGACATAAGATGACCACTGACAGGAAAAGTGAATAACACTGATTATCACTTCATCTGTTAGTGGGTGGGATATGTTAGGGAGCAACAGTTTGTCCTCAAAATTGATGTTAAAAGCAGGAAAAATGGTCAAGAGTAAGGATTTGAGTGAGTCTGGCAAGAGCCAAAGTGTGATGGCTAGACGACTGGGTTAGAGCATCTCCCAACCTGCAGCTCGTGTGGAATCACTGGTAAAACCAGCGACAGGGTCCTGGTCGGAAGAAGTCGAGTCAACAGAGGCAGTGTGATGCATTTGGATATGTTTTGCTGGGAAACATTGGATCCTGTCATCCATGTGGATGTTATTTTGACACGTACCACCCAACTAAGCAGTGTTGCAGACCATGTACACCCATCTGGGGTGGCTGTAGCTCAGGTGGCAGAGCAGGTCAGCCACTAATCAGAAGGTCGGTGGTTCGATCCCAGGCTGCATCCTGGCTGCATGCCAAGTATCCTTGGGCAAGATACTAACCCCGTGTTTGCCTACTGGTGGTGGTCAGAGGGCCCGGTGGCGCCTGTGTCCGGCAGCCTCGCCTCTGTCAGCGCGCCCCAGGGCAGCTGTGGCTACAATGTAGCTTGTTATCGCCAGTGTGTGAATGTGTGTGTGAATGACTGAATGTAGTGTAAAGCGCTTTGGGGTCCTTAGGGACTAGAAAAGCGCTATACAAATGCAGGCCATTTACCATCTGTGGGATGTGCTTGAAAAAAACAGTCCAATCATTGTAGGCCTTACCTCATAACTTACAGGACTTATATAAAGACTGTGACTAAAAAGAGAATGACAAGACAAGATCCATTAATTAAGTTTTGCAGAAAGGTGGGATGATTTGCAGTGTGATCCACTCAGAGGGAGTCATAGTTTAGATTTCTAAATTATGACTTAAAATAAAGACAGAGTTAGTAAAATAAACCAAATGTCAGACAACACTGCCAGATACCACAACCCACCTTCAGGGGTTTAGAGGAATCCATGCCCTGGTGGGTCAGGGAAGGGATTCCTTGATTAAACAGTGATTTTTAGTAACATTTGGCATTTTGTGCTATTTTTATCTGAGTCCTCGTTAGGGTCTCTATGGGCAAGAGAAACAATTACAGCAGCAAAAAACAAAAAACCGTTCCGGGGTGCAGTGTCTTTAAACATACCTAAAATAGGAACAATATATCACTGTATACAACATATCAGTACTTGAACTTAGCATTATTTACTTTGTGAAACATGAATAATTTCCAGAATGCTTAGCTTCAGCTATAAACAGCTTTCCACAGTCTAGGAATTGCTCTTCATTTCCTCCTCCTTCAGCACTGGAACTTGTACTCTTCATATCCACCATCTTTGAACAGTTACAGTATGGCATCGTAAAGTTTTGTCCCTCCGCAGCTTTGTAGTGCTTCTGAAGATCTGGACACACAGATGAGTCGTGTTGTTGTCATATTTCAATCTAAAATAGTCACTCTTCACACTTCCTCTAAAAAAAATACAGCATTTTAAAACACTTCTGCTGTAATGTATGATTTACAATTTGTATTATGATAAATACCTGATTTGTTTGTTTGATGATTTGCTTCACAGTATCCCTTCAAGGAAAGGTGTAGAAAAAACAGGAAATATGCAGTTTCCATGCTGCGTCTTCGAATCTGAGAAAGCCGGTTGTTGGTGTCAGGCGTCGCAGTGATGGAGTTCTTAGTATTTCCTACTTTTCATGTTCTTTCTTCTTCTTTGGTGGAAAATCTTGCGGTTGAAGCAATTCACAGGACATATGTTGCAGCATGTGGTGTCATACAATTTCCTGTTTAGTTACACCCGAACATCATTTCACTGGAACTCACTCTAATATTTGAGTTCCTGCTACTTCTTAGCCACTTCCTGTGTGAACAGCAGAACAACATTTGTCTGTAGGCTTATATTTTACTTGTGTTTTAAGGGAAACCCTGTTTGACAGAGGTAGGGGACCCTTTCAGGATTTAGTGCAAAAAATAAATAAATACATAAATAAAGCAAACCCCAAACACAATTTTATATATATAATTACCACTGTATGATCTTTTAGAACAGATGTGTTAAGAACTACACATCATCTGTTGAAAACGGCAAAATGGTGTGATCCAGTCTCATTGTTGTTGCGCTGCTACATGCACATACAAGTTTATGATGGTATCTGCTGTGTGGTGGCATGCATATTTATTGGGCATCATAGTGGAGATATATGTGTCAGGGATAAGGATAACCTTGAAGCTTTAGGGAAAACCTAGATGACAAGAATCACATCCAAAAGGACTTTTCTGCTATGTGTGCATGGATTCTTGAAAGCGCTGGAAACCGTTCGCTGCTAAAAGGCAAGCCGCAGCCAATATCTACTTGCCACAGAGATTTAGGTAAGATCTGTGGTTAAAACGGGAATTCTTTTTTTTCATATTTCTACCTGAAATACACATTCAAGAAATTTGACTGTAAATTTGACTGTTACTGTGAACCTTGTACAAACTTCGAAACTAAGATTATCCTTGCATTATGTGCGACAACAACTGTAGTAATTATTTCCTCCAAACCATCAATGTGTCTTTTAAACCCCAATCCTACAAAACTGCTCAAAGACGTCTTACCATTAATTAAAGCTTCAATCTTAAATATGATCAGCCATTCTCTATTCTGTACCACAGGTCTTCAGGCTGACAGTAGTTAAACCATTACTTTATTTGAGCACTTAAAGCACTTTATATAACTTGCGTCATTCACCCATTCATGCAAACACTTTTTTCTACGTAAGTGCTTTCTATCTAACATTCACACACATTCATACTCCAATGGATGCATCAAAGAGCAACTTGGGGCTAGTATCTTGGCCAAGGATATTTGGCATGCAGGAATCAAACCACCAACCTTTTGATCAGTAGATGACCTGCTGAGCTACAACCACCCCACAAAGACCTCAATCACCTTTAATTTCTTGCTTTTAAATTCAGACAAAACTGAAGTTATTGTACCCAGCCCTAAAAACATGTTATCTAACTAGATGCTTATTGTGGATAGTATTTACCCTAATCTCCACATGCCACGTTCTCAGTAAGAAAATTTAAAATGGTCTAATTCATGGACACTGGCTGTATTCAGAGTATTTTATGACCACCTTTGTAGACCTCAACCTGACAATAAGATTGTGTTATTAAAAGAAACAGGGGAGCAGTAGAGGTTTTTGTGTGTTTTTATTCAGTCCTTTAATTGGAATTTTGTGCTGTCAGCGTTAATCTCGTTAATGCCATAACCACATTAACACGGCAAATCTCCGTTAGTGAGTTAGCGCGGATCGCCTCGTGGGTGGGGCTGCAGGTTAGTGTGGTTAGCTCGTTAACGCATTAGTGCCATGCAGCCCCACCCACGGGATGAGCCGTGCTAACTCGCTAACGGAAAATTGCTGCATTAATGCAGTTATGGCGTTAACCTCATTTTAACAGGATTAACGCTGACAGCACTATTGGAATTATACTGACTATACATACATTGTTATGTGACGGCTGTGTGCAGGCAGGAGAAGGACCCAAACTGCAGACTACGGAGACAGAAAGTAACTCAAAACAGCTTTAATGCTGAACTCAAAAAGGTAACAAAAACTAAGAATACAAAATACACCGACACAGCAAGATGACGGTAGATCACAACAATGACAAACTGAAACACAGGGCTTAAATACATAGAGGGAGCAATCAGGGAATGGGTAACAGGAGGGAAACACAGCTGGGGCAAATCAGAACTGACGAGACAAGGAAGCGTAAACTGAACTCACTGAGATAAGACAGAGACCTTCAAAGTAAAACAGGAAACACATAACACAGACTGAACAAAGACACAGACTCACATGCAGGCACTACAACAGAGGGAACAGAGACGTGGGACCACGGCAGACACAGACACTGACTGGACACGGGGATATAGCGGACAGGGGAGACAGCAACTAAGGGTTACACAGGGACAAACCATAAGACATAACTCTAACAAAAACCCAAAGACTAGAAATTATAAATAATATAATAAACTCAAAAACCGTGGGTCAACGACCCAGGCATCCTAACATACATAAGGTAGGATAAAAATACATTTATTTTAATTTTATTAATATATAAGATGAAATGTGCTTTGAACATATTTGGCCAAAAGGCACGGCTTTTCAGTAAGTGCAAGCAGTATGTACAAGCGAGGAAGATAAAAACTGGACAAAGAGTAGGATGATATGGCATTGGTAATAATAAATGAGAAAAGTTCAAGTATGGTATGATGAAAACTAGGAGTTACATTCACTGAAACATTATGAAAACAGTACTTGGACTGAACTCATCAGGAGGAACAGCCTAAAGGCTGATTTAAAGATGCCTAATAACACAACAAGATGAAGCAATTTTACACATAAACTTCATACATTTAAATTCTCTGTAGCTTACTAAAACAGTTGCTGGTATTGTCATACTGTACAGAAGAAATGTTTGCAAAAACAGGAATAAAATTGATTAAATAGAATAAAATAACAATGCCGAATTAAAAAAAACCCCCATAAATATTAATTTGTCTTAAACTCAAAATATAAGCTCTTGGTGACGTGTGTAAACTTACTCATATGTTAAGACCAGATAGAAGTTATTAATTCTGACTTGGCTAAACATTTTATCATGAAGTAATATCCTGGATTGTGTGTGGTAAAAGCTTTACTGTTGGCGCCTGCTGTGGTGCAGGAAGGTAATATCGTAGCTGCTTCCAGAAGGAGGAGGAAGTCGGCATGGAGCTTATGCCCTTCCAGGTGACGCAGTTCCCAGCCTTACTAAGAAGCTGTAAAGCCTCTGGAAAGGAATCCGATTTTGAAGCCATTGATGTCTCAGTGGTGATGAAAACCAAGCGAGTCTGCCGCTCCACTAGGGCTTCGTGGATCGCACTCAGCAGGCCAGATTCTGGATCAGGGTCTGGAGAGACGGGAACCAAAACTACCGCCCGGCTCTGCTCTACGCAGTCTAGCACAGCGTCTGCGATTGCTGCAAACAACCAGATTTCAGAATGCAAATCAATTCATGAATTTCTATCTTTATTTATGTAAGTAAATGTTCTGCAGAGGATCCTTCTCAATCCATACCTTTCCCTGGTAAGACGTCACGATCATAAAGACAGAGACTGTAACCAAATTTATCTTCCAAAACACTCTCCAGCCATCTTTTGTCGCTAGGATTTAATCCTCCAGCCGTGTCGCATTTGTAACACATTAAAAAGGCATCATAGCATTTTCCATCTGAGCAAAGGACAATAAACTCCGTCACTGTTGTTGCTTTGTCTGCAGCCCACACAAAAAGCACAAATGCTTAAACATGTGTTGTCAGGTAAAAAGAAACAAAAAGCATTTCTCTCACCTGAAATGCCGCCAGACCACTTAAGAGTGTCTCTTAGGAAAAGAGTGATGTCAATCTTAAACTTCACATAGATAACTACAGTCACAAATGTCACCACAACAATGATGACAAAGCAGACACCAAGAGACGTGTACGAACGGGAAGCTGCAGGGAAATAATGGGGAGGTTAAAATGATCAAATATCAGCTACTTAACTCTTATTTAATTGTAATAACGTGAAAGATGCCTTTTCAATCTGTCCTAATCATGCTTATATATAATATAACTTATATTTTAAATTGTTTAAAAAAAAATACTCAAATGTTCAGCTGGCCATACGTTTTTGTTTTAGAGTGATAGTGACAAAGCTTGTTTGGTAATGAGATTGCAGTTTACAGGTATAATTTTTTGACAGATCGTCCTCTGACACTTTTCTGAAGATTAGAGATGTTCTCATTCTGATTTCCTCTGTGCTGATGACCCTGAGAAGAGAAGGAAATGACTGAGGCAGATCTAAAAACAGAATTCATATCTGAGCTGATGTGACTACATATAACATCAGTGTGACCCACAGAGGACCTGTGTGTGAAATATTTACCGTGTATCATTATAGAAAACTGGTAGACTAGTGTCTGTATCCACAAATGAACTTTCACTTAACCAAAACAATTCATCAGTCTCTGACATCATAACTGCTTTACAATCAATCACCACTGTTGAACCTAGAAAAAGCAGAGTTTACACAGGTTGTTATAAATGATTAACATTTAAGCTTTAGCCAAGAGTGTGAAGGTGTATGAATATAGACAATAACTCACCTAAATCTACCTCAAATACCTGCTTGTTCTCTGGTGAAATTATCACTGCTTTCTTAGTTATTTCTGTGGAAATAAAAAAACCTTTTGAAAAGCACGTATTAAAATCATTAAAAATAAATATCTGCAAAATGTGTTTTTCTTACTGCTTGGTTGGACATCAAGTTTCACCGTAGAGGTCATGTTATATATTTGACCATCATACAGGTAAGACCGGGTGCAGGTATAGTTGCCACTGTCCTCTTTTTTCACACTTGGGAAGTAACCGTCTTTTGGTGATGACCCGCCCTCCTACAACATATAAGCTCGATTTTTAAGTAGTCAGCTGTCAAATTTGGAAAAAACATTAAAACCCTGTAACAGTATTTTACAGTTTGATCTCATTCACATAATCTGCTCTGTTTACCTTGTGCCATGTGATGCTGCTTCTGGTGATATTCAGGGTGTTAAAGGGATTTTTTTTTTCAGGGCAAACCAACTTGCAGTCCTCCTCTGTGTAACATTCTTTAGAGATCTGGTTCATTTGCTCAGAGTCTCTGGACTGAGCTGTGTTTACTTTGAGGCTTATCCAGGACTGTTTGCTGGAATTCCT